GCTGGCTGGGGAATTCTGGGAGTTGAAGTCCTCCAGGCTTAACGTTACCAAGGTTGGACACCCCTGCTCTAGGATGTATATAGAAATGCACCGATCCAGAGATTGGCATCTTGGGAATATTGGCTTTCATTAACAATACAAATGTATTGACTGATTTATTAAATAGCATGTACCTCAGCGCTGATGGATTGGGACTTGAAAAGCTACTGGTACATTCTAAGAGCCAATACCTGAAGTACAGCTAAGTCCTCGACTTACAACGTTTTGTTTAGTGACCGTTCGAAGTTACAACAGCACTGAAAAAAGTGATTTGTGACCATTTTTTCACACTTATGACCATTGCGGCACCCCCATGGTCACATGATTTACATTTGGATGCTTGGCAACTGGTTCACATTTATGAAGGTCACAGGGTCAGGTGATCCCCTTTTGCGACCTTCTGACGAGCAAAATCAACGGAGAAGCCAGAGTCACTCAACAACCCGATTTACTAATTTAACAATTTTAGTGATTCGCTTAACAAGTGAGGCAAGAAAAGTTGTAAAATGGGGCAAAACTCACTTAACAAAGTTCTCGTTTGACAACCTAAATTTTGGGCTCAGTTGTGGTTATAAGTTGAGGACCACCTGTACTTTTGGGCTTCATAAAACTAGGTGAACGTGATGGTTCTAAGGTCTCTCCAGCCTTTTCCTCCCTGTTCTGTGTTTCAGAACTCACTTTAACCAATGTAAGTATGTATTTGCGTGCCTGCTGAAAGCCAGACTGATGCATGACGACAGATGTCTTGGATGGCCCTGTTTGCAGTTTCCTGGTTATATGGAAGCATCGTAAAGATGGGTCTTGAGATGAAATAATTTTCCTTGCAGCACATCTGTGCCGTAGCACATACGTTTGATGTGCTCTCTGATGCCAATGGGAGGAAATGCAGTGGAACAGATCCTGCTTTGGTGTGGATTGATCCTGAGATGCGCTTAGTGCAGTGGTGGGATTAATTTTTTTTTTTACTACAGGTTCTGTGGGTGTGACTTGGTGGGTCTGGCAGGGGAAGGATATTGTGAAATCTCCAGTCAGAGGTGGTATTTGCCGGTTCTCCCAACTGCTCAAAATGTCCGCTACCGGTTCTCCAGAACTGGTCAGAACTTGCTGAATACCACCTCTGGCTTAATGAGTTCTCCAGAGCAGCTGTTTGCTAACCATGACACTGTAATTGCTTCCTTTTCTAAAGTAGAGAAACTGGGTGTTTTCTGGGGCTGAGGACTACCCGTATAGTTTGAGATCCTATTTCCAGTGTATGGCTACAGAACAGATGTTTTAAATAATGATTTTCTGCACAGTAGTGTTATAGTATTTTGGGGAGAAGGATTATACTAAAAATAATGGAAAGGTGAGAATAATTCTGACAGGCAAGCCACAAATCACTGTATTTATTACTGTAGTTGTTTTAATTACAAAATGAAACCAATCATTGGTGATATTGTACTTTCCCTATTACGGCATTTGGGCTCTCAGTGAAACGAGATCAATGCGTGTCAACTTCTGACTCATCTGGACATGCCAATCTTCAGTGAAATGTATTCAGAACATTTGGGGGAATTACATCATCCCCAAGCAAAGTGATCAAATCCATATGTATTTAATTATTTGTATGAAGGGTAATGCTATCTGCTGTCTTCAGTAACTGCAGTACTAGTTATTGATTTTGTGGAAATTGGGTGCTTTGTTGTTGTTTAAATTTGGCAGCAGTGGAAACCTTACCAGCTACCATACTTTCAAGGTCATAAAAACTATCCTTGAAGGATCCACATCAGAAAGCCAGAAGACAAATGCCAGAGTCGCTCCAGTTCTGATTCCTATGTAAATATTTTTCCTCAGGAACCTGCCCAGCCGATGTTAATATGTGCACAAGATATATGTATCCAGTCGACACACTGTATAACTGAAAGATGGTTTTATTTTTTGTTTTTGTTATAAAAATAAAAAACTTTTTATTAAAAAAAAGCAACCTGCCCAGCCTGGGATGGAGGGATGTCAAAGGCAAAATATATCTGTCACAGGAGTAAAATCAGAGGGGTTTTTCCTGCCCATCTTCATCCCATTTTCCAGCCGTTCTCTCAGCCTGTCTGGTCTGCACAGCAGGATATGCTGTACATTTAATAAACTGTCACTTGAGCCCACCTTACATTTTGAAGCCAACGGATTGCTAAATTTGGGATATTATGTTTGCCCCAGCCAAGTGTCAAGTTCTCTGGATCACATGTGCTTCCAGCTGGTATTTAACTCTGAAACCTCTGTGAAAGTGAAATGCATACTACTCCAGACAGCCTTGATCAGAACTAGAAATCTGCTCCTTTTTTCTCTCATTGTACTAGTCTTTTACTTTCGGGTGTCTCTCGGGTCTTCCCCCTCTTTTTTGCTGTTTCCTTTATCGTGTCAGAGAGTGGAATAACTTTGGGATTCAAATTCTGATCAGCATGTTTCTGATTCTTTTAGCCACTACGGAATTAAAGGACTTTTTTGCAAAGGCTCGGAATGGTTCAATCCGTCTTATCAAAATCGTAATTGAGGATGGTAAGTTTTCATTTCCTTGACATTTTCAACCAGTTTGTTTAACCTGTTCTGCACCTTCCCAGCACCAATTTTTACAGAGTACAGTGGTGGGCATTGTGCATTCAACCTATCGGTGAGCAATTCTGGTGAAAGCTGCTATAATATAATTACTCAGGAGTCAGGGCCAACAACTGTGACTTCAGGTGACAAGTGTGGTATCAACACAGCTGTACATTTAAAGAAGCAAATAGTATTATTAGTTGTTCCTCCCCTTGGCTTCTTTTCCAACAATTCTCCTTGATGTACATAGTGCATTCATGTTTTCAATAATTATTCCCATGAGTATCCTGGGCAAAATAAGCATAAACTAAGTAGCTAAAATAAAGGGGTTGTTGACTGGCCAAGACATGAAGACTTGTTTTCTAATGTGATGGTTTTTCAGGAAGGCAGTTCTGTCCCAGACGTCAGTTTTAAATTACCTTCAAAGTATAGGTCTTTTGGTGCAAAGTTCAATAAGAACTCCAGCACGGGTATGTCAGCATTGCAACTATATTACATAGTTATAATATTGTCCAAGAGTGGATCCTGTTCAATTCAGTATGCTTAAACCAGATTAGCAGATATAGGAATGTTCAAGCTTATGAAATGATTTTGTTTGTTTTTATCTGTTTAGATTCCCCCCCCCCCCCCCCGTTAACTCCTTCTAGCAAAAGCCTATGGATTACATTGACCCCTCAATATCCCTTTAGTAGAGGAATGGACAAACCCAACATTTGGAGGTTGATGTTTGGGTTGGAATGGCACTATGTTTTAAGGGGCAGAATTGCTATCTGAAGCCTTGTAGGCACTTTACACTTTAAAAATTTCCAAGTTCTAAATCCTTAGGGTTTCCCCTAATTGAGATCATAATTCTGCAAAGGTGATAACACACCTTTCACTCCTTAAAACTCACTTCTGTTCCTCATAACCCCAGAACTAGGCCCTGCCTACTCTGGGGATCTTCTGAAGTTACTGGTTATGTCACCTGTATCTCCTATCTTGGGCTCAAAGTTAAAATGGAAAGAAAACGGCCCATCTGATGATCTGAGCTAAGCCCCGCTGAACAAAGAGAACCCATATAGTGTAGAAAAAAACACTGATCTGTCTAAAAATGATTATTTAGTAATAGCTATTATGCTTTGAATGTTGGCTCTTTAATATTGGGTTGCCAAATGTAATCAAGTAGGGGGAAAAAGTAAGGGCAGTGTTTCTCAACCTTGCCAACTTTAAGAGGGATGGACTACAATTCCCAGATTTCCCTAGCCAGCATGCTAGGTAGCCAAGCTCTTAAGTTGCTAAGGCTGAAAAACACTTGCTTGTTTTATGTTTAGGAAAAATGTTGTACCCGAAGGAGCCTCCATTCATGTTACAGCCCCTCCCAATTTGAAAAATCCAAACATAAAATTTTCTCCATGAGAACTAGACTCTTTGTTTTTCCAAATTGTTTATATTCTTGTTTACGGGAGATCAGTTACATCCTGATGGAATGCCTTCCCCATATCATCTTTCAAGTGTTCGTCCTCCACTCTGCCCTGATGTGTTTATTCTGTTGCAGTGGATAGATAATGAGTCAGGAAGATAAACATTTATTCATGACAATAGGCTACCCTAATATTTTTCAAGTAGGAGTCTAGATCTGTGTACGCTAGAACTCTTTATTATTTAAATTGCTTGGACATTATGTCACTCGCATTAGATTCCTATGTAAATTTCACTACAGGTAGTCCTTGACTTATGACAACAATTAAGCCCAGATTTATGGTTGTAAGTCATGATGATCATTAAGCAAAGTGCCCAGGTGATCACCTCATTTAATGATCACCACCCTGCTCTCTCCATTGCGGTCATTAAGCAGACCACAAGGTGCCTTGGGGTTGGCAGGCTCGGTGCAGGCTGTATTGCAGCACTTCCTGAGCTTATATATGAGCTGCCTGGGTCTCCCAGGGTCTCCTCCACACCCCCCCCCCCAGGTGCCTGCTTCCCACACCAAGCACCCGAATGTTTTTTATGCAACTGGAGGAGCAGTGCAGCAGTTCTAACTGAAGGTTAAGTCCCTTCATGCTGCACCGTTGTAATTTCAAGTGGTCAGTGAACAAATGATTGTAAGTCAAGGATTACCTGTACTCTATATTTATCCTTTTGATTTGCCTCTCTCTATACATAGACACACCCATTAGATTCATGGTTCCCCCCATTTTTAAATTTAAATTCTTTTACATTTACACATTATTTGGCAGTTTATTGGGAGACAAATCCTTATACATTTTTAGGTTATTTCCAATATGCATGTTATTGTATGCAGTTCTACCTATAGAACTGCAATTTACTTGTGCAAGTTATTTTAATATGTATTTTTGTATGTTACTTTAATTAATGTTCTTAGTGTTTGTATATCCTTCCCTAATACATATTGTAAGGCATGATATCAAAAGGTCATTATGTTTCAGTTTACCCATGAATTCAAGAAAGACAGATTAAATCAGTCCCCAGTTTCTTTTCCACCCCTACTATAAACCTCTTTGAGTTTCCCCATTGGCTTAGGAATGATGGCAAGTTGGCAGTTGATTCAGAGTGGAAGTATTTCAGATCTTTCTCCACTTAGCTTACCAGCCCTCTAAAAAATAAGCAAAGTCTCACATTCCTTCATGGAACATGATTTTACAAAGAGTACAGGAGAACTTTCATCCACTACTAAATAGGGACAATTTAGGGAGTGCTTCAGTTGCATACTCTTTAGAAGGTTTAGGTCTTATCTAAAGCTCAGATGGAACATGACTTTCCCTTCCGTTCTATGTCACTGATGTGGTTGTCAGCTATTTAGAATGCGTAGATGCATTCTATGAATGCAACCTAGGAAGCTTCCTTAATCATCAGTGGATGAGGTATTTATATCTATGTGACGTGCCACTCTAAAACTTGAGGGTTTACAGGGTACTGACGTAAGAGGAATTTAAATCATGACTCTTTCTAATATCTATATTTGGCGAACAGATAGTATGAGGGTCAAAGGAGACAGAAGACATGGAAGAGAGGACAGGCCTCAGGAAGTGCTAGCCATAGCCAACTTAGAGTGAGCTCAGAAGCTAACCTGGGTTAGAACTTGTATAGCAACTGCCTGGAAATCCTTAGGTGAGATTAAGATGTTGAAAAAAATCCAAAAGAAGGCAATGTCAAACAGCAATAGAAAGAAAACTTATATCACCAAAAGTCAATTTGGACTTGAGGGGAACTTTACCATTTTTAAGGAGGACAGACACATAAGTCAAGAACTCTGTTTTAGAGATTCTTAATAATATGGAAGGAAGGTGCCCAAAAAAGTTGTTTAAGAAAGTTGCCAGTTGTTATAATTGAAAAGACTGGGAATAGTTTAAGGAATCTGCTGTTGCTATTGTAAGACAAATGCTACTTTAACATGAATTGTTTTAATGACTTTAAGAAAAGTATCTTAATTTGAAAGTATATGCAGCAATTGTGTTGTTTGGAGCTGATTCATGCTAACTTTCAAAGGAGTAGGAGAGTTTCAAACAACTTTCCCCATGTGGAATGGATGTTATGAAGATGCTTATGGGGTGTTCCAAGTTAATTGTGTGATGATTTATCAGTGTGACTTGTGTCTATGACTCCATGTCTTTTGTGCGTTTGGATGCATGGGGGTCTCATTTGTGGGGAGAACCTGGTAGCAGAGGCAGGGATCACCAAGAGCACCCCTTCCCTAAGTACTATTTTGATGTTTGGGAGATATTCTTTCATCCTTTGCTGTTGATGAAATCTGACATTTTTCCGTGCAAACTACACCCCATCCAATGGGCATTTATTGTTCTGACTTCAGGCTTCATCAAATGTAATTAATATCAAACTTGTTTCCAAAGCAAAATCTATTTTATTGCAATGCTGGGAATTGTTTTCATTCCCAGCCAGAACTAATCTTAAACAGTTCCCCAAGATAAGCACACACCTTTCAGTGTTGTGGAATGCTGCCAAAAACAAAAGTATCCAATTAATCATAACAGAAACCAACCGAAGTACCAGAAAAGCAACAACCAGAGTAGACAGAGCTTCAGGGAGGACTCGGAATCTAACAAACTACTTTGCTTCCTGCAAAGATTTCATAATTGAGTTCTGACTTTTATCCCTTATGGGAGGGGCAATCACCGCCCAGCCTTACTCTCAAGTCTCCCCTTCTGTTTCAGCTGCTCTCACCTTCTAGCAGCTCTGCGCGCACGCATACTGGGAACAGGCTCCCCGGGGTCCTCTGCTTCGCTGCTGCCACACTCTGAAGGCTCCGAAGGCAGCACCCCACTCCCATATGATCCTGGCCCCATTCCTGCATCGGACGCAGAACCCTCGCCCAAGTCCTCTCCAGACTCCCTGACTAGTCCCCTTTCCTCCTCACTGTCTGATTCTGCCGCCATCTGCACTGGCTGCCGGCGAACCACAACATTTATTTTTATACTATACTTACAAGGATAGAAAAGTTTTCAATTTTGCTTTTGTTTTAATCAAAGCCATGACATATCTATACCAGAAGCTTTCTCTTTGCCATCATCAGCTTACATTTCCAAATCATCAATAAGGCACTTAAGAATTTAAATGTTTCTCAAGTCTCTGCTTTGTTTTTTGTTTGTTTGTTTGTTTTGATTGGATAGAAAGAATTCTACAAAAAAGAACAACTCCTGGCTCTAAGAAACATCAAAAATCCATCTGACGGGCATTAAAAATATGTCAGCTGACTCCTGTAAAGCACAGCAATAGGTCCAAAGTGATTTCCATCCTTGGCTGACAGAGGAGTATTCAAGGAATTCAGAGTCATTTCAGCAGTTCCTGGAAATTATATCAGTAACTAGAGCTGCTCCAGGAAAATAATTTCTGTGGAATGTATTTTTAGTAGCTATTAAGGGAAGTGGGGTTGGTTATAATAGTTTCCCAGCTTTCAGTTGGCTAAATTGGGTTTTTAAAACAGTGTTTGTGGAGTGGGGGGGCAG